TGTGAGATTGCAGAGTGCTGAGAAAAGCAAGGTAACCTTTCTGTTCCCAGTATTTCCCATTCTCTGCTCATCTGTTACACTCCATATGTGGCAGCTAGCATATGTTGCCACATTTGTCTCAAAGATTTTCCCCTTTTAAACTCTATCTACACTGATAGAAATTTAATAAGAAAAAAAAAAGGGAAGTTACAATTTTATGTGCAAAACATTTAATAAACCAATCTCTTAATTTCTGTTAGTGCACTCATAGGTACTCAAGTCAGTGTAAAGATTTTAATTTCAGAATATTTTTAATATTTATTACAGTTTTTTTTCTTCTTCACGTTGTAACCAACTCAGTTTTATATAAAGAATAGAATTTTTAAAACCTTGAGTAACAAAAATGGAATCACTAATTTACTAGAAGAAGAAATTAATAGAAGGTAAGAGTGCTCAGGATGACAATGTCTACTTCTCCAATGAAAAAGGCAAATAATTTAAAAGAACACGTAGAATCAATGTTAGCTATGAGTCTTTTAAGTTCTTCAGCAAATAGACCTGTTTCCAAAGGTTTATTTTTTGACATTTATTGTCTTGACTCATATGCCTAAGTAAAAAAAAAACGCTCCCTTCCCTAGAGCTGAGACTGTCTGGTAAAATAAGTCTCAAGCTGGATTTACACAAGGCTCTGTTCAGTTTAGCATTCATTCTGAAGCTCTGTAAGGTCATTTCATGATCTGCCTGGATTGCTCTGTGTGGTGACAGCAGAAATGCAGAGATTAGTGGGATTCTCAGGTTCAGCCAGCACTGCCCCAGAGCCCTTTAATGAATTGCCACAGGATCAGCACAGGTAAGAGTCTGCATCCATCCCAGCCCATCCCAGCCTGGATGAGGGATCACCCTTGAGTGCAGCTCCTGACCCAGGTGATCCAACCCAGAAATTGCCTTACTGACCCTGTGCAACCTCAGCCTGTGGCTCATAACTCCTGCAGGCATGAAGGATCTTTTCTCAACGCTCCACAGTCGTTTCATCACGAGGAAATCTGCCAGAGGGTAATGGCAGACTCTGATTTCACTGGCAGAGAGGGTTTGCGAGCGCCTGCTGCAGTTCCGTAAACATGACTTGGCACAAGCAGCCTCTCCTTTGGCTTTGCCCTCCAGAACCACCCTGATCCAGATATTATCCATGAAAATGAAGCAATGAGAGAGAACCTGACTTGTAGAAGAAAATTTTGAGCTGAGGGTGACTATTCATAATTAGCTTTTTTAAAAATAAAAGTTCTTGCTTTTCCTGGGAAGATGATTTTTCCTCCCATACATTCTAAGAGTAGTGGTAAGAAAAGACTTTTACCTCTGGGCCTGAAGCCATCATGAGGAAGCCTTGCATTTGTTTTGCACACAAAAAAAAAGCTGGCAAGGTAGGTTTGGGTCTTTCTTTATTTTATTTTGACATTAGTAGAACACAACCATGAGGAAAGAAGACAAAACTTGTCTCAACAAGAGCTTCAGCCGCCATCTCTTGGAGAGAGAAGAGTTGCCAAAAGGACTCCGTAACAAAATTCAAATTATTCATTCATTGCTTTTCCCAGCAGGAGAAAACAGCAGTGACACACTGGGGCTCTCAGCTGTGAAATCAGCCTCTCTCTTAAAAAGGTTTTTCCTGCAGGAAAAGGCAGCACCCTAATGGTAAGGCTTTTGCTTCAGATTATTAACTGAAGATGTAGCTATTCCTGAAAATTACAGCTGTAGAAACAGATTTCCTTTGCTGGGTAAGGTTGAGTAAAGTCTTACAGAGCCTCAGTCTCTGAATGTCTTGGTCCATGTAAACCTGAGCTGAGAGCTCACTATGATGCCAAACTACAAAAGCTGATTCACTATTGGAAAAAATTCTGCCCTGCTAGACACAAAAAGTTGTCCTTGCTAAGAGAAGAAAGAGGGTGTTGCTGATTTAAATGAAGAGCATATATAAGACTGATATTCAAAGACCTCAGTCTCCTGGAAATAAGAGATGCATTATTTTACCTATAGAAAATTTTCCTGAAGAGTGTCATCACTCCTATTTAGCCTGGACTGTGACAACCAGTTTCCTGCTGAGAGCCTTGCTCAGAACATCTTGGAGGTGGATGAGATTGCAAACGATGTCCCAGCACCAGGTCTGGCTTGCTCAAGGTGCTTTTGTCTTCTAATTAAGCTTTACCTTCTCCCCCAGAAATAATTCCACAAATCAACCTTAAAGCCCCCAGGTGCAAGCCACCAGCAGCATGGGACACCTGACACATCAGGGACATCATCCAGAGCAGAACCTGAGCTGGCCAGAGCTTGGTGCAGCCATGACTAAGGGAAGGCAGCTGGGTTGCAGTTAGAAAAGATGGGAAACATAACATCAGTCACTGGAATGAGGGAATGTGTCTACTTTTTGTTCTTATTTATTTAGCTGAAGTACAGCTTTTCCTTTGGGCTGTGCTCAGCCCTGCCTTTGCCACGCCAAAATGAGATGATTACACAGCGAGCTGCTGAAGACTCTGCCTTCCAGCCATTCTGACTGAAACAAACTAACAGAGAACACAGACCCACTGCAAAAATGGCAATATTTTAAGAGATTGCTACAGCAGCATGGTTGGAGTCTTCTCTGAATCAAAACCTACAGCCCTGCTCCTCTCACAAGTGCTGTGAATCCACCCTGGTGGCTGAGCTCACATACAATGCCTTTCTCCTGCCAATTTCTAAATTAGCCACCAGATAAAAAAACTGATAAAGAAGAAGAATGGTAAAGGTTCAAGATCACATTGCTGTATTTCCAGAAATAATACTGTGCTCCTACCCTGGGGCACAGAAAACATGCACATCACACTGTGAAAGAAGGAACCACACCTTACTAGCCCATGGGCAACCATATCTGGCACTTGGAGGAATGTCCCATGTCACTGACCCTTCAGCAGCCACAGAGAGCATCAGGAGTTGGAATAAGCTGGCACTATTACTTCACACCATGAAATAATGGCAATTGGAAGACAAGAGAAGAGAGGAGAAAATGTGCTCTGAGCAGCTTTATCACTTTGCAAAGTCTGCTGATGATTTTACAAATTGCCAGATGGGCATCAAGGCCACATCAAGCAGATTCAGCTTAGCAAGTGACATTTGGGCTGCTAGCACTGAAGCAGCAAGCACACAGACATCAGTTTTGCCTGTCTTCAGATTCATCAGTTCAATGCCACTGCTTTCTCAACGAGATTAACTTCCAGGTGAAGCACCAATTTAATAAATCAAGTCTGCTTAATCTCAGCATTGCTTCAACAGGTTGGTAGAACTAAACAGAGCTAAACTGGAGAAAAGCCTTGTTTTGAAATGGGATCTTTTCAATTATTTGTCATTGAAAAAAATTACACATATCTTGAAGAATATTCAGTGAATTTCAGGCTCGGGAAAATGGTCCTATTGTGGTGATTTGAAACAAGCACTGTTCTTGCTTCCCCAACTTCTCTCCTGTAACCAGATTTACTTTGACTAACTCCTCAAGTCTCACTTCTTTAATTGTAGTGTTCAATACCCATACAAAGATAACTAATTACAGTGGGTTTGCCATCCAACCAAAGTCATAATCCAGTCACACAGGGAGATACAGATGCACCTCTATCTGAAGCTGCAGCTTTACCTTCTCTTACTCTACAAAATTCTGCTAATGCTCATCAGCTTTCTTTGTCCTGCCAGTCCCAGGTTTATTCAGCTGAGAAATGATGGTTATTTTCCAACAGAATGAAAACCTAGTCCCTTGGCTACCTTCAAACATTACCCAACAACTTCAGATTTATTATTCATTTCACACAGATTTAAACTACCTATTTTCTGTCTCGCTTTACCACAGCAACACTAGTTTAAAAAAAACCCAACAAAATACAGCACATAAACACCTTAATTTTTTCAAAAAAGCTAAAACATAGAGTAATGTACATTCTCAAATTGTGGGATAAAACAGCTACTTAAAACTGTGTGCACTTCTGTGTTCATGAAAAAAACTAGAAACCTCATCTTTCTACTGGGCCATAACATCCACGGACTTACTGTCCTTTTTATTTTCTTTTTTTTAAACTACCACATTCCATGGAACAACATTTTGTCTGTATATTAGCATTTTATCTTGCATAAATGTATGTTTCAGCAGTTATGAAAATGAGACAGCTGACAGTTGACTACTATATGTGAACAGATGCTGCGAAAGCTTCCCTTTAAATAGTTCTGTCAATGCAATGTCAATTTTAGAAGCGACACCACTGCTGTTCCAGGACCTGATCCTGTAAACTCTTATTCACACAGGGAGCCCTGATGATTTCCACAGAACATTTACATTTATAAGGCTCCGAAAGGTCAGGTCCTTAGTTGCAGAGCTCTGCTTAACAGTGACTGACAAATATACAACAAAGTTTTCAGCAGTGCTGAGCTCTGCTCTTCAGGGCAATGACATTTGCAGTATTCACCTGGGCAGCACATACATTTTCTTTCAGAAGTTACACGAGGCATACAAAATACACTTAAGAACCCATGAAACGAGCTGAAGCGCAGAGATGAAAAACACTGTGTGAAAACCCGAGCTCGCGGCACGAGGCGGAACTTTGAAAAATTAATCTGCCGAGAAGACAGGCTGAGCTGGAAACACAAAAAGAACGGCTCAGCTGTGCCACACAAACCCGGCACGATCCAGCGCCTTTGTTAGCAGCATCCTCATCAGCGGAGTGTGTCGGGGTGGGGAAAGGTGCGAGCGCTGGATGGGAGCGGTGCTGAAGGACAGCGCTCCCCAAAACCACCCAAACCCGGAGCGGGCAGGGCACGGGGCTCAGAGCCAGCCCGATCCCTCGGGGGAATGTGGGGATGTGGGAGACGGAGGGAGGGAGCGCATCCCAGCCCGGGGCATCCCCGCGCACACAAAGCGGGCACGGCGCGCAGCGGGCAGGGCAGGCACACACACAAAGGCGGCGCGGAGGATGCTCCAGCCGCGCACCGCTCCCCTCCCCTTCCCCGGCACTCACCTTGAGCAGCACAAAGAGCCAGAGCAGACAGGAGCGGGCCCCCGGGGCCCCCCTCCGGCGGCGCTCGGGCATGGGGGAGCTGCGGGGGCGGCCGGGCAGCGGGGGCTGCAGCTGCGGCGCCCCCGGGAGCGCCGGCTCTGCCCCCGGCCCGCCCGCGCTCGGCTCCGAGCCGTGCCCGGCAATGGCGAATTGCGGCAGCATCAGGCGGCCGGCGGCGGCGCCGACCTCCCCTCCGAGCGGCGCATCCTGCCGCCCCCCGCCCCTTTTATTTGGGGTTTGCGGCGGGGAGGGGACGGGAGGAGGAGGAGGAGAAGGAAGAGGAGGCGACGGCGGGTGGCGTCTCTCCTCCCAGGAGTTTGGGCGATCGCGCCGCTCGCCGGCTCCGGGAGCGCCGGCTCCTGCAGCCCCCGGCGGAAGGCGAGGGATGGGAGGTGATGGAGATGATGGGAGAGGATGGAGATGATGGAGATGGGAGCCGCCCTCGGCCCCGCACCGCCCTGCTCTGCCCGCGGCCCCCCTCGCCCCCAGCAGCTGCTCCCCGGCGGGCAAAAGGCATCCTCACATCCCTTCCTCGATGTCTTTTTTCCTGCCCCGCCGAGATCGGGGAACAGAAATGTCCCCAGCATCCGAGGGTATCTTGAGGGGCAGGGAAAGGAGCGGCCAGAGCTGGTACCCAACGCAGAACATCCCTGTGGCTGTGCTCGCCTGGACAGCTCTTCAAATGTTCAACCTGCAAGGGATGGAGAGTTCATTCTGTCCCACGAAATACTCAGGCCCAGGGGTGCACTGAGAGAGAACTCAGGGCACCTCCCCTGGCGTGTCTGCCCCCCATATCCCACCCAGCGATCCTGCCGGGCCATCTCCAAACGCCTCAGCAAGAGTCTTGATGATGTCCCCAGAAAAAATCAAAACCACTTTGAAGAACCCAAACAAAATCCCAAAGTACTCAAACACCTTCCCTATTCGACCACCCTGATGAAAACAGTCTTTCCAAAATGAGAAACTACCTCAGAACCTGGTTTGTCACAGACCACGCTCTCACTCACACTGGTACAAATCAGGATGCATCCTTGGTAGCACTACCAGAGCTGTAACAAAGATAAATTCAAACAAAATAAGGTTGCCAGTGTAATAAAGAGCTGTGTCTGTGATGTTAAACTACAGAAGAACTTTGTGTCTAGGTGTAGTGCCCTTACTTAGAGGCCACCACCTCACCCTTCCTTCAAAAAATAAAGTAGTGGCTAAAAGTAGATTCTGGGATGGTTTTCAGAATTTCTAAATCATTTAGGCATGATGACCTCCATCACATTCTCGTGGGAATGTTCTTTAAACCAAACAATTACAAAGCTGTTTTCTACCAGCACTGCTAAATTGGACAATAATGAATCTGTGTTTCTGAGCCCTGCCCAGCTTATATATGGCATATTTTTGATTTCCTTATAATTTGGACACTCAGTCAACAAAAGCTTGATTTCAAAGTGGCCAAAGCCAGAGAGAGATGTGCTTATTTTGTACTGAAATGGGCCCTTGAGCAAAGATTTGCCACACATGATGGGGATTAATCCAGAAAGTAAAGGAGGGATTCAGGCCCCATGTAGATATTGGCACAAAGCCTAAATTTAGACATCCAAAAGGCAAATGCTACCCACATGTTCATTTATAAGAAGCTGGGGACATTAAAGACACATTCAATGCTACCAGTGAAGGACACAGACTTCTCTTGGGTACTCTGTTAGTGCTTGAAGCTTATCTGAAATTGGTATGCAAGGGGTTAACCATAGCTAAATTTCCTTCACTATTCAGGTTTAGGATGAAGAGAGGTTATCTGAAACAAAAAGATGTGAATTTACTTAGGAAATTAAAATTTTGCCAGTATTTGAAAGCTGTAGGTAGAACTTTAGGCTGGGAACCTCTGGTTTATTAAGTAAATTGGACTTAAATTATTTTTGTCCTTAGGACTGTATTTTATGCTTCTTTCTTCTCCAGTATTCCACTTGTTTATAAACACTTAGACATTAAAATGATGATGGCATAAGCAAGGCTAAAGATCAAAGGAAAAAAGAAGTACAAAATTCTAGTAGCATTTTAGCCTCAGGACAACACTACTGGAATCAAAGAGAGTGAACAATAGCTGAAAGAAGTGAGAAACATTTCTGCAATGAAACCTTCAATAAAGTACCAAGATAATAAAGTTTTCTGATCTGGCTGTTGAAGCTGAGGAAAATGCAGCCAGGAGAATTCAAGTATTGCATCCTCTTTAAGGTATGGGGGTATAGCATTATTCAACTTTTTCAAAAAGGGCCAGCGCTGTAGAAGATTCCAGTTTCTGAATAGAACCTAATCCTTCAGAAAAAAATACAGAGCTGAGGGAAAATAGATGAGGATCTATGAAAGCAGAATCACCCTTATTTGTTTCTAGAGTCTAAACAATAAAAACAGCCAGTCTATTAATACACCTGCAAAGTTTTAAAAATAGAGAAAATTAGATAACTTTTATTGAACTCATGGAAGAAGAAACGGTAATTTGTGAGTGGTCAGTTAGAAAAAGATACTGATGTTCCATAACCCTCTGCATGGGCCCAGGGGGAAAGGAAGTGTTCAGCAGGATACCTCACAAGTTGGAATTTCACTTATTTGGGTGAAAAACACAAAAGCATTTGAGAAAAAATTTAAAAACAAAAATCAGGGAAAATGGGGAACATTTGTTCTGGCATCAAACATAGCTTTTTCTGAAAAAACTCTTCTTGTCAGAGCAGAAGGTGGAACACATTCCCAATGACTAAGGCAGCCCTGTGCAAGGAGCCAGTGAAAGCCCTGACCTCTGCTCTTGTGGAGCTCCTGTAACACAGAGCAGCTCGCTGGCCACAGAGTCCCTCACTCCATGTAAAACTCTCCTTCACTCACACAAAACTGACACTTGTGGAGCTCTGCCACCTTTACCCAGAGCCCATCAAAGGTCATTTGGGGCATTGCAGACCATCCTGAGTTGGAAGGACCCACAAGGATCATGGAAGGCCAACTCCTCCATTGGATTCATTGCAAGACCTCGTTGCATTACGAACATCTCTCATTTTTCCTTCTGTTCTACTTGGAAGATATCCTAATTTTTCCTTGGTCTCTAACAAACTCTGGGCTGCAGTGGACACCTGTCTATTGTATTTGGGTTGCCCTCAGATGTAGGAAGGAATGATGAATCTGACTCCATGTTCTCAGAAATGCTAATTTATTATTTTATGATACTACATTATATTAAAGAATGCCATACTGAACTATACTAAAGAATACGGAATACACAGCATGACCCTGACTGGCCAATAAATCAAAACAACCCACAGCAAAAAACAATGTAACAGTCACCCGTGGTAAACAATGTCCAAACACATTCCACATGAGCAAAACAGAGGAGAAGCAAATGAGATAACAATTGTTTTCATTTTTCTCTGAGGCTTCTCAGCTTCCCAGAAGAAAAATCCTGGGCAAAGGAATTTTTTCAGAAAATGTGAATGTGACACCTGTCAGAGAAGGCTTAAGGGACTTTGGCTCTCTCTGAATGCAACTGGCAGAACCACAGTGAAGCAGAGAACTTTGAGCCTGACAGAGAGGTGCACAATGTGCTGCTTTCATACAAGTTCCTGTCTCTACTCACTAGATTTACTATAAAAGCTGGGCAGGAATTCTTTTTCCTGATTATGATAATTATTTATTATTTATTCTGATGTGCAATCAGAATACGATAAAGTATTTCAAGGCATTATTAGCACACAGCCCTAGAGGACAAAAATGGTTTAAAGAAAATCCTCTTGCCTTTTGAGAGCAGCACCTCCAAGGAGGACTCCACATCAAACACAATTTCAACAACTTTTCAGGTAGCTCATCACCCCCTTCAAGGTTGTGTTAGTTACAGTGCATAGTAACTGATGAATTAAAACACTGGTATTTGTTTTAATCAGCTATTTAGTCAAGGTATCATCCTAATTAAACCAGTGTGAGTTACCATATACCACCCTAGATTACCAGAGAAAAACAGAAATCAAAAGTTTCATGGTTTCAAATGTTTCTATAAATGTTCCTGCTGGTAGCTTATGAGGACTTGATTTAAGGTTTATGGTAAATTCTTCCCTTATCCCTGAAAAACCCCAAAGCAACATTCTGTCAGATCTACCAACTTTGCCTGGCCTAAGGAAAAAAAGCTGTAAATTAGCATTTATTCCTAGTTGCAGTATAAACCCAGATTTATGTGAAGATTTACAGGCCTCAGCAAGTCTGGATAAGCATGACATGAAAGGAGGTTTATAAAAAACCCACTCTAAGTAAAAGTCATCCTGGTCCATGAAGTTTTTGAAGCAAAGTTATTTTTCAGTGACAAATGCTCTTATAAAAATAAAGTGTGGCTCCTTCTTAAATGTATTTTCACCCTGAGTCCTTTCATTTCAATGACAGCAGTGGATAAAACAATAACAAAAACAAGTGCAAAGGGTGGCTAGAATAATGTACATGGGTTGGCACTTAGTGTTCAAGTGCAAATTTATCTTGGATTTCAGTTTGATAAGTACAGGCCCTGTGACTTCTAAAAGTGTGCCCCCCCAACAAACAAGTTGTCAGCTTTTATAAAAATCTGTCTTTTCATAACAAGGATGATTGACACACTTCAGATGTGCAAGCTGATCAACTCCCAGACACTTATTAGTCTTTCAGTGCAGGAGAAGCAGTGAACTATCCTGCAAAAGGTCATTTCCATTTTTAAAGCAGTCAGAAATCTGTTTTTGACATTGAATCTTTTCCTCATAAATAAGCAAATGAAAGACTTTTGTCTGATGTTTCTTTCCTTTAGCACTGAAATGGGGTATGGAGAAGCACTGAGTTGGTTTTTGTGGGTATCTTTATTTTTTTCAGAAGGGAAGGAATAAATATACCCAACTAGGCTGATGAGACTATTTAACATTTAAACAGTGTATTCCACTTTCATTTATCTGTCCCAGTGTATCTGGATGATACAGGATGCCTGAGAAACAGATTGAGTTCTGTGAACATAATTCTAGATAAAAAATATTCATGTATTTACCTTTTTAGCAAGCTCTTAAGTATTTGACTAGCCCTATCTGTTATCAAAATGTCCATTTTACTCTTATAGTCCTCTCTCCAGTCTCAGCAGATATGGTTGAAAAAAGTAAAAATAAATCAATGCACTTTCTAACTGTTCTTACTTTGTATTGCATCCTCAGTGTTTCCTTCCAGATGGGACCTGCTTCTCCATTTTTGTCTGTGATCTAAGCAGGCCAAAGGCTGGGGAAAGAGGCAGGTTGGGAATTTCTCACTGTCTTGAGCAACTTCTGAAGCCATATAAGTTGAAAAAAGTGAAAAAATAAAAGTTATTTTATTTCTGCTTAAGTTGGGTACATCTTTCTTGGGGTAATTCTCAGTAATTCCACTGTACTTTATACTGC